GTGAGCAGCAGCTCATTTGCATTTAAAGAGACGGGCCCAAAAAACAGCGTGTTTCTTCTTCCACTCAAAATAGGCATTTTCAAAATGATATTATAAATGATCTGTGCAGTATTTTGAGCTGAAACTTCACAGACACATTCTGGGGACACCAGAGACTTATATTACATATTGTAAAAAGGGGCATAATATGTCTCCATTAAATAATATTTTACAATTTTGCTGTTTTTACTATATTTTTTATTAAATGAATGCAGGCTTTGTGAGCATTAGACAATATAAAAGCATCTTTCAAAAACATAAGATCTTACCAACACCAAACTTTTGTTGTTAATGGTAGTGTTAGTGTACTTTTTCCATTATATACAGCTTTCAAAATATTTTGTAACCTAGAATTAGTTGATTTTTTTATAATTCATTGGAGTTTTTTATATTAATTAATTACATTTCATTAGTTTTTTTTTTTTTTTGTGAAATCCTCCGATAATCAAGAATAACTGGATCGGTGTTAAAATTCATTGGTCAAAGTGTGAAAAGAAAACACTGACTGGATAGCTGACAGTCTGAAAAAGCTTGATAAACTTGCTTGTAGAATATAAAAAAAAAAAAAAGACTGTGAAATATTTTTTATTCACATTGTGTATATATAGTATATACAGTATTGTGTTTACAGTATAAAGTATAATGTTTAGGAATATGTATTGACAGTATTATGAATGTGTATTTGTTATTGCCATTGCCTGGTAATCTGTTATGCATCTAGGACACTTTCTCCCATTTCATGATAAGACTTGATGATAATGATCATAACTACTATAAAGATACTGAATAGTAACACTTGATGGTACTCATCTCATGTGTTATGTGGTTGCTCTGTATTCTGTTTTGTACTCTGTTTGCTTACAAAGTCTGTAAGCGGAGCAGCATTTATAAGTCCATTCATTGTGCATTGTGTGCTTTTGCATACAACTAGTGCCAGGATGTGCCAACTTTCTGACCTCAAATCAGCAGTACACAACCTTGATACAGTATCAGATACATCTACTCATTCTTTATTACTTTTTTCCACATTTTACAGTAATCAAGCTTTTTTGGCCCTGCATAAACAACCTATTTGTCTTTAAGACTAATTTAAGTCATTTAAACTTAAGTGTCTAGATCATTTTTGATACATTCAGGTGTGTCTTAATTTCTGACCAGTTTTCATTTTTGTTGTCATCAGGTATAAGCGGACCTCGCTGAAGATTTTGGGGACCGTAGGGGAGCCCATAAACCCAGAAGCCTGGCAGTGGTACTACAGTGTGGTGGGAGAGAAGAGATGTCCGGTGGTGGACACCTTCTGGCAGACTGAGACGGTATGAACTGTATTCTAACCACTCAGAACAGAGCAGTAACATCAATGCTGCTTTGAAACTGTCTACTGTAAGGTCACTTGTCTTTTGTTTGTATCTTCCTCAGGGTGGGCATGTGATGACCCCTCTGCCGGCCGCTACTCCCATGAAGCCTGGCTCTGCTGTGAGTGAACGTGATATAAATGAATAAATAAGTTTGGTGTTGGTAAGATGTTTTTGTATTTATACTCACCAAGTGACTCTCCTGAAGAGAAATCATTCAAATATGCGGATTTGGTGCTCAGAAAACATTTCTTATTATCAATATTAAAAACAGCTGGGCTGCTTGATATTTCTATAGAAACTGAAAACAACAGCATTTATTTGAAATAGAAATTTTGTAACATTATGAATGTCTTCATCGCTACTTTTTAGCATTCGAGTGCATTCTTGCTAAATAAGTGGGTTTTTTTTGTTTTTTTAGAAATAAATCTTAGTGACCCGAAACTTTTGAAAAGTAGTGTTACTAGTGTATGTATTTGTCATGTTGCTGAAAGAGACAAATGATACAAGGATGATACAATGTTCATTACCAGAGATCATGTAAAATAATTTCTTCTGTTACTACAAAACTAGTGCTGTCAACCGATTAATCGCGATTAATCACATCCAAAATAAAAGCTTTTGTTTACATAATATATGTGTGTGTGTACTGTGTATATTTATTATGTATATATAAATACACACACATGCATGTATATATTTAAGAAAAATATGTTACGTTTATATATTTAATATATTTATATGATATAATTTATATGAATATAAATATATACACGTAAATACATGTAAATATTTTCAAAATATATTTGTATGTGTGTGTATTTATATATATATATACATAATAAATATACACAGTACACACACATATATTATGTAAACAAATACTTTTATTTTGGATGCGATTAATCGTGATTAATCGTTTGACAGCACAATACAAAACCGAAACACATTTGTTAAATTAAGCATAGTGTGGTACAGTAGAATTACTTTTATTAATTTCTGTATGATGATTGATGTTTTTACATATTGTAGACATTTCCCTTTTTTGGGGTTGTACCTGCTATTCTGAATGAGTCAGGGGAGGAACTTGAAGGACCAAGTGAGGGCTATCTGGTAAAGTGAATTTTGAGAATAAATAAATACAAGTTCCATATGTTTCGTCAATATTTTTTTGTTTTTCATGTTTTAAACTTCTTAACGCTAATGAATCAGTTAAATTTTATCCACATGTGAAATTCAAGTTTAAAACAAGCGCTTCTCGTCCTCAGGTATTTAAACAGCCTTGGCCAGGTGTGATGAGAACTGTGTACGGGAACCAAGAAAGGTTCGAAACCACCTACTTCAAGAAATTCCCTGGATACTACGTGACTGGAGATGGTAATTTGTGCTGTGATTCATATTTAGTTTTACTATAAGTGGGCATCATATAATTGTGTGAAGTGAGAGATGGTTTGTGCTTTAGTTAATGGTGTAATGTGTCTGTCCAGGTTGTCGTAGAGATAAGGACGGGTACTACTGGATCACCGGAAGGATAGATGACATGTTGAATGTGTCTGGTGAGTAGAGGATGAGGACATTCGTTTGTTTATTGTTCTTTTAATTTAATTACATAATCCCAAAATTTCTCCCGTTTTGTAAGTTCCCCAATGTGGAGAGAGAAAATGTGTGGCCTGGACCTACAGATGCTGAAATAATGCAGATTAATGAGTTTCGAAAAAAGCTAATGATGAAATTCAGGCCACACTTTCCAATCATTTGTCTCTCGCCTGTTTTCTATCTCTACTGATATGACTCTAGAGATTTACAAAGCATTAAAGTAGCCTAATTACCAACAAAATGGCCTGTACTAGAGCAAAAGCTTTGATATATTGGTGGTGGATATATTTCTTCCAGGGCACTTACTAAGCACTGCAGAGGTGGAGTCGGCTTTGGTGGAGCATGAAGCTGTGGCTGAGGCAGCGGTTGTGGGGCGGCCACACCCTGTTAAAGGCGAGAGTCTTTACTGTTTTGTCACCCTCAATGACGGAATCAACTACAACCAAAAGCTGGAGGGGGAGCTTAAAAAGCAAGGTGTGTTTGCTGAAAGGAATATTTCATGCAAGAATTACAATTCTGTCATCATTTAGTCACTCTCATGTAAAAGGTCGGTCACGGTACACTTTTCGTTCCATTGACTATTCATACGTATACGAATGCGGGACACAGGAATGCAAATTTTGCTCTCCAAAGTTGGCCTGCAAATTCGTATCATATGAAGACCAATAGAAGATCAGCGTGGACTCTTAGCTGAATTTAAAAAAAAAAAACACAAACAAACTTTACAGTAAAGTGATGTAGATTATGTATTTTTACATTTTTGGATGTATTATTATTTGGATGAATTATGTTTTTTAAAAAGATGCTGGGAAGCATGATGTCATTACGGCCTTTGCATTGTCTGGAGAAACTATGCATGCGCAAAATCTAGTGCATTTGAACTGCTCTTTTCAATACAACAAAAGTGATTTTAAACTGTCAAACTTTAATAAGGATAAACAAAAGTTTGCGTATATATGTGCTGTCAAAATTAGCGTGTTAACACAGGCGATTAATTTTTCCAGTTTAACGACGTTAAAAATATTTAACGCAATTAATGTAGGGGCAGAGCTAGGGTTGGCCACCCCTCTCACAGCTGCTGCTTCTGTCTCTTGTTTTACTTGACAAGAATTGCGTTTATTTCGACGCAGAACATCTTTACGACCACATCAAACAGGAGACTTTACAGACTCGCTCTCTACTTCGCCTCAGCGCCAGGCACAGGTCAAACGAGTGCGGAAACGGTACAGGTGATGAGGAGTTTCAGTAGAACAACAGTGAACTGCAGTCAGATGAGATGTTGTCAGACCATGTCAGTAAAAACAAAATCTTCCTGTCCTGTCAGCCGTTATACTGTGCTCGTAGCACATGCTCTTCAATTGCACGTATAAATGTGGCGGCGCGCGCTGTAGCCTGTATCATTTCATATTAAAGCGCGACTGAAACTACCAGCATGCGTGTTAGATCTGAGTCCCGTTCAGCAGCTGCAGCTCTTAAAGTAATAGCAGCCAAATAACATAATAACCCAGCTGCTGTGATGTCTTTTCATCAAAGAACAAGAAAAAATAGGAAATCAATAACTTCTGTAGCTTTAAGGATTCATCTATATTTAATATAGAATTTAGTGTTTGATAACTACCTACTTGCTGAAGGGCACAGATAAATATGTCATTTATTATAATGCGTTTATGTGAAGAGTGTTTTTTTTTTCATGAACTACAAGTAATGGCTTTCTTTTCACTTCCCTTTTTTCTCAAACAGTGAGAGAGAAGATTGGTGCCATAGCTACACCTGACTACATTCAGAATGCACCCAGCCTTCCAAAAACCAGATCAGGTATTAATATTGGACTGGTTATTATTAAAGCCTTAACGTTTATAATGCTCAAGTGTTCTTTGTTTTATTAGGTAAGATTATGCGTCGTGTCTTGCGGAAGATAGCGTGTAATGAGCGGGATTTGGGTGATGTGTCTACATTAGCAGACAGCTCTGTCATTGAACAACTGTTTGACAACCGCTGCTGTACTGCTGTGTGACCACCAGGGGCACCCAACACAACGCCACTGTCTGGCCCCCATACCAGCTTCAGTTCTGGAGGGAAGAGGATGAGTCTGAGCTATAATGGAGTTTAGGATAATGCTAGTGAGCAGACAGAACGAAAAAAAGCTTAGAAATGTATAATTCCTACTGCAATTCACCGACTTAAAGTAATCTCTTGGAAAACCCAAGGTTTGGGTTTGGCATAGATTTTTAACTGCATTTTTACAGGACCCAATTGTATGTTAGAAAACATTGTCCCACAATTTTATTTTTATTATGTTTATAATTTCCTTCTCTTTCTCCATGTCAGTTCATTAATCTTTATATGACTATACTGTCCTGCTTTCAATGTGCCAACATAACCTCAAAACAGGTTTTTTTTTTTCATTATTTTTTCAGTACTAAAATGGTAAAATAAGTGTATGTCATGATTTTGTTGTGTAATATGTAATAGCGCTTTTTAAAATCTCTCTGCTTTGGTTGAAGGTTTCATTTGAACATTTAAAGCTACACATTGTATAGAACTTTCTATACAAGCCAAAACATGCATTAATATTTACCAGAATAACATGGTATCATGCAGGTGTCACCAATGTTAAAACTGAACTATGTATATTTTATTCCTGGAACAGTTTGCAACTTTGTAATAAAAGTTTGTGCGTGAACTGATATTATATTTCTTCAGGAAAGTTATGAAAGAGCTATGATTGACTGCATAAAGGCTGTATGTTCATTTAAAAAAAAAAAGCATTTAACAGGAGTAAATGACATTTCTAAACATGATGGTGGTCTTCTTGTAGTACTGATACTTAGACCCGTTCAGTGGGCTTTCCATTTTATCAAGTCATATTTCAAGTCGTATTTTATATTGTGAAGGTATCCTCTCAAGAAGCTTTTTCATGAGAAAAGTGATCAAATTCCAGCCGTTATATGAGTGTACTGTGCTCTCATGTGACTGAGACTATAGTAACAGTAACTGTATTTGTTACTATTGTCAGATTGATTTCTTCCAGCTTGCCATTAACTCGAGTTTTGGATATTTCATAGCTCTTAATGTGGATGAGTATTAGCTGTCAATGCTTTTCTCAACCCTGTAAGCATTCACTAGCCTGTATGATTAGCGACTGAACCTTTGAACTTATTTTCCTTCTCACTCATTTTCTTGTAATCATTTGAGCAGAGCAATGTCTCAAACAGAGCTGGGTGAATTCAAGTGCTGAAATTTTAACATTCATGTTTATGGTTTCTGCATGTGTCCTTCCATTCTATTTTTTTATTTTATTTTCTGGAGGAGTTGCTTAATAAATTAAGTCATAATGACTTAATAAATAATAATTATCTGCTGCTATTGAAAGAAATTGATACTTTAATTTAGCAAAGATAAAATAAAATGACCAAAAGTGACAGTCAAGTAAAGGCTGTTTTTTGATTCATCAAAGAAAACTGAAAAAAGGGCAAAACCAAAGTGTATCACGGTTTCCAGAAAAATATTAAGCAGCACAACTGTTTTTCAACATTGATATGTTTCTTGAGTACCAAATCAGCATATTAGAATGATTTCTAAAGGATCATGTGACACTGAAGACTGTAATGGCTGCTGAAAATTCAGCTTTGCAATCACATTAATAAGTTATGCTTTAAAATATATTAAAACAAAATATTTTTCCTATTTTAAATTGGAATAATATTTTAAAATATTCCTGTTTTTACTACATTTTGGGGCAAATAAATGCAGAGACTTGTTAGAAGATCTTACTGACTGCAAACTTTTAAAGTGTAAAGCATCTTCCAGGTTTCTGACCTTTTCAACCAGTTTGTTAACCAACCTAAAGTAGCATTCTTCCTAAAATCCCCCAGTTAAAAAAAAATATATTATTATTATTACAGTTCTTTTATATTATTCAACGTTTCGTGCACCAAAACCACCCTTTCACTGAATTCTGTGTTTGCTGCTGTACCTTTAAGACTTAGCCTTCCATGTTGATTGAGTTGAACTGAATCAGTTAATGATTCATTGTTTTGAGCTTTTTTTTTTTATTAACCGGGTGATTCAGATAACCGTGCCGAGCCGAACCGTGCCGTGCCGTACTGAGCCGTACCGAGCCGAGTCGTACCACGCAGTGGAAAAGCGCCATAAGCCTCGCCGCCGGTCGCGCACATCCGCCATGTTTGTAATTTTTTAACGCGTTTTATTCGTGTTTGTAGTTCTGGACAGAATCCTTCACCAAAGCG